TCAGCTCTTCAGCCCAAGGCAAGCGCTCTGCCACTTGAGCTACAGCGCCACTTCCAGTTTTCTGGTGGTTTATTGAGATAGGAGTCTCACAGTCTCTCCTGCCTGGGCTGGCTTTGAACCACGATCCTCAGATCTCAGCCTCCTGAGTAGCTAGGATTACAGGCATGAGCCACCAGTGCCCGGCAAGTTAGCAGTTTCTTAATTGAACCCACAGTACTCAGGAACTTGTGGAATTACTGGAAGAAGCAAGAGGTTTTATGAGGATAGGTTAACTTTGCTGACTCCAGGATAAATGTGCTTTGGAAAGCATTCACTTAACCAGATTTAACTAAGAGCCTTTGCTGCTGAGTGCTTTCCTAGGGGGCAGGGCTACAGCACACACACTTCTGTCTTTATGGAAAGTCTTGCAAGTAGGGGCCATCTCCAAGGCCCTCAGGGGAGAGGCACTGCCCCAGTTGAGCAAGGGCAGTATCTACCTTCTCGGAACTGAGTGAAGGAACCAAACTGACAGTAGATTAGGGAAATCAGTGAAGAGCTAGGCAGTCTGCCTCCAGATAGAGTATACATTGTAATAACGCTGTCTAGCTCATAACTGGTGTCTGGGATACCCAACACGCATGCTTCTGGACTTGCATCATAGAGGTTTCTGTGTGCTACTCATAGCTACATAATATACACCAGGACCAAAGAGAAGCCTCCTCCCTTCTCCTCCCCCCTGCTCCCCCACCCCTATTTTGAGGCTGCTGTTCCTCCTAAGGAAGGGTTACCATCCAGGAGTGCCCTTCCTTCACCAGCAAGGCAGAAAGTACATTTCTACCCGTGGAAGTCACCTTTCCTCCTGCTGTTGAAAAGCTCTGGTAAGCCTGTGGATTTCTCTGCTTTATTGGCTTTGCTCAGGTCAGGCCAGAGTAGAAAGAGAAAGGCCAGTGTTGTCATCTGGGGGCCCGAGACTTAATTAAACATTTAAAGTATAGGGCCCTATACCAAGAGCTACAGGGGGATAGGTAGGTACTTAAAACATAGGCCTTGGGGGGCTGGGAAGGTGGCTCAGTGGTAGACGCTTGCCTTGCATGAATGAGGCACTAGGTTCAATTCCTCAGCACCACATAAGCAAAAAGAAAAAAGCTGGAAGTGGCACTGTGGCTTAAGTGGTAGAGCGCTAGCCTTGAACTGAGGAGCTGAGGGACAGTGCCCAGGCCCAGAGTTCAGGCCCATGACTAACAAAAACAAAAAACAAAGGCCTTGTCCAGAAGAAGTAGGAGAAATGAAGTATACCTGAGAGTTTTGAAAAGCACATGCTAGACAGTCCTTACTTGTCAGTTGGGGAATCAGGAGTGGCATTTAAACTGGGTCTGGAACATCAGCATTTTTGTGTGGTGGGAGAGAAAGAAGGAAGGGTGCAGCTCAGGGTTAAGAAGCCAGTGAAGGTGCAAACCAAAAGACCATGGCTAAAGTCAGGCAATCAGTTTGGAAGGAAAAAGGTAGATTCTAAGACCCTGAACCACTGTGGGGGTTGGACGCTACCAGCTGAGACTCACTGTACCACGAATCCACAGTGTCCCTGATGGAAATGCATAGAGCCGATGACCAGGTTGCTGGAGCATTGACTTCCTTATTCAGCAATCCAGGGAAATGGTGACCAGAAGCTTCTCTGCACCAGCAAGATGAGATGCTCAAACATGCAGCCAGCCCCGGTGGCTGAGTGGTTATAGAATAGGAAACGACAAAAACAAAAATGATCTTTTTCTTTTCTTTTTTTAAAGACAAGTTCTCAGGCAATCCTTCTGCCTCAGCCTCCTGAGTAGCTGGAGGCATAGGCATGTACTACCATTGCCTAGAAGGAGCTTGCTGAAAGGATTGATAGAACTTAAGGGATGAAGCTGGCACTGTGGCGTTTCCGCATGCTGATGATAGGGAGCCCCTGGAAACATGGATATGGTGCTAAGGAGAGCGATGGATACTTGGTTTTTTTTTGTCAGTCGTGGGGCTTGAATTCTGGGCCTGGGCGCTGTCCCTCAGCTCTTCAGCTCAAGGCTAGCGCTCTACCACTTGAGCCACAGTGCCACTTGTGGTTTTCTGAGTGGTTTATTGGAGATAAGAGTCTCACAGACTTTTCCTACCTGGCTGGCTTTGAACTGTGATCCTCAGATCTCAGCCTCCTGAGTAGCTAGGATTACACGTGTGAGCCACCGGCGCCCAGCTGATTGAGATTTTTAAAAAGGTGTGGGAATGATTCGGGTCAAGATGATCACTAAAACCCCAGGAAGGGTCACCATCAGTGTGGAGGAAACACAGAATGAATAGCAACAGGATGGGGTGAGGAGACTTGAGACCTTTTCAGAAGGAAAAGTTATGAAACTGCTGTGTAAAATAAACAGGGATAATAGTTCAATCAGAATCCCAAAGATAGGGAAGACATTGTAATCAAGCACAGCAGAACTTCACGAAGCTGGGGAAAGATCAGTAAGTACAGAGGACATGGCGTAGAGTGAGGATAGTTGGGTGTCATTCCTGCTGACTTGTTTTGGTCTCAAGAAAGTAAAAAGTATAAGGTGCATTGCTACAAGTGGGTCTAGGAGCTTGAAGAGAATAACGGTGACAGGGAAGCTTGAAACAGGTCACCAGAATCAGTGAAAAATCAAGTGGTCTGCCTACCACAACCTCTCCGATACTAAGTGAGGAAAAAATATACCTGATGCTGGAAGCTCTTCACCCTGTTTTCTGTCTTATTAGATGTAGATCAGAAAGAGTATGGAAAGCAAAGCGAAGAAGAAAACACGTGGGACCAACATGTAAAAGAACTAAAGCAGAGAGATGAAAGAAGGATGAGTGACCGGCAAGAAGCTCTAGAAAGAGAACGAAGAGAGCTAGAAAAACTGGATCAGGAGAGGGTAATATGTGTGACTTAAGTCTCTGTACTAGGTTCTCCATTGGATGCCTTCAGAAGGTTCCTTGAGCTCAAGAAGATGCACCAATAGTGTCCCAAGGGCAGAGAAGTGGCAGGCAACTGTGGAAACATCCCTGGCCTCACTTTGTCTTCTAGCAGAAGAAAGTGAAAGCACCTGGACATGCATTCTCACTTAATCCTTACAAAGAAGGCAGACTGGGCTTTGCTTTAACATTTCCCTGCTTCCAGGAACACATACTGCCTTCCTTCTTCTGTACTGTAATTTTTTTTTCTTGCCTTCCATGCCCTGAATTATTCTGGCCACTTAACATGCTACATGAAAGTTCTCAGATTCCTTACTGGTTTGGGTCTCAGTGCACAGGACATTTGAGGCAAGTTAATTACTTCCTTTCTTGAGATGACATGTTTGTCTCATTAGTAGTATCAATGGCTTCATTTTGAATACATATGTGTGTATTTCTCTAGCACACAAATTGTAATTATATTAATATGTTTCTTAAACAATTGAAAAGCTTTTTGTGTGTGTGTGCTGGTCCTGGGGCTTGAACTCAGATCCTGGGTGTTGTCCCTCAGCTCTCAAGGCTAGTGCTCTACTACTTGAGCCACAGCTCCATTTCCATCTTTTTGGTCATTCATTGGAGATAAGAGTCTCAACGACTTTATTGCCCAGGCTGGCTTCAAACTATGATCCTCAGCTCTTAAGTGTCCTGCCTGAGTAGCTAGGATTAAAGGCGTGAGCTACCAGTGCTTGGCGAACTTTTAAAGCCTATTTGTATATTATCTATTTTATAGAGGATGATTGAAGAATCACTGAAGCTGGAAATGGAAAAAGAACTAAAAACAAGTGTTGAAGAAGTGAGCGACGAATCAGCTCAGGAAGAAAATCCTTTAGAGAAGTACATGAGAGTCATCCAGCAGCAACGAGAACAAGCATCTGCAAATAAGGTTCCTATTTTATTGACAGGGCGTGTTCTATGGATAACAGAGGAGTGGAGGAGCAGTGGTTTATTTTCTGTCTTCTTTGTTGAAGACAAAAGTTAGAAACATAGAAAATGTGTACTTAAAATAGAATCTCAAATCTTTTAAATATTTCAACAAAATTTCATCATGTTGACTTGGGCAAAAAGGTGAAGACATGTTGATTTGTGTGAGTTTATATAAGTTGAGGTATCTTGTTCAAACTGGAAATGATCATCTGTCATTGGATAATGAATGCAGTAATTGTAAGATGCTTTTTCTAAATATGAATTATGGGTGTTGAAAAATGTATACTGTACTTTGAGGTGTTTTTCTAAAATTTCACAGTAAAATGTCATGCTAAGACTCATATTGCCTATATATTTAAAAGATAGTTCTTAGAGAAATCAGTGTTTCAAAAAATTAACTCGATTCCAAAATTCTTCTTCCATCTTCCTATTAGCTATCTGGAGAATGCTCCCTAGTAGACACACTACCATCTACTGACAAGGATGAGAGGTATGGTTTCCCAAAACTGTCTTTTTTTTTTTTT